TGAATGGTCTGTAGTAGGCAAAAGAAACAAATAACAATCAACGCATATCAGCTCTTCAAGCGAAGAGGCGCGTTTCTAAGGTCAATGGTTCCGGACGGCACTAATGTTGTTGGCGTTGTCGTAAGATGACGTCAGTTCATACGAACTGACGTCATCTTACGTGATCACGTTACACAAACACGTCATCTTACATGATCTCGTTACACGAAATGACGTCATCTTACGTGATCACGCTGCACGAAATGACGCCATCTTACGTGACCACGTAACACGTCATCTTGTAAGTCAACCTCTCCCCACAGCAGCGCGCTCCGCGCTTTCCGGGCCCGTGCAGTGCTGTAGTCGAAAGCAAGCTCCCTATGGCAAGCGAACGCTTCTGAAGTCTCACATTGAGAATACTCGCAAGCGACCGTCTGTGGAAGCTTCGCACGTTGAGGTTTTTGTTGAGATCGAGCCATCGTGTTCCATTAACTATAGTTGAAGTTATCGTTCAATAAAGCCCTAAAAAATATGAATGTAGTTGGTGTAGACATCAAGATCTAATCAATTGCTCGAAACAATGATGCCCTTTCATAAACCAAGTTCTGTGACATATGCTTTTCCAATGTCTGGTCACTATTTTGTCAACTTTTCAGTCCAAACGAGTATACTTCTGTTTGTTTTTGTTAGCTTAGGAGGGGTCACAGAGCCTATCTTTTTGTCTTCCTCTAGGACAGACGTACAAAGTTATACCGCAACACGCATCTGTGGAGCACACAGAGCTATCGCTCTCCTGTTGGCGGTACAGTAGCAGACGACACAACGCAGCTCCGTAGTCTATCGAGGGCACGGCTAGCCGCGGCCCGTAGCGCGACCGTTCAGACTAGGGAAATGGTTTTGAAGAACCGAGAAATGGTATCTTGTGTACTAGTATTCTACTTGCTAAGTCAAATAAATATGTGCAGCTCGTGAGAATATGTTTGCGTGACGATTTACCGTTCACACTACTGACGGATGTTAGCGAATCCTTCATGTTCGTGGCTCGCAGTTGTCGGTACCCCCTCGGAGTGACTTCACCATATATATTTTTTTCTTGCTTGCAGGACATCATAAAAATCACAAACACGCGAGAAAAAAAAAGTCTGATGAGTACGCGTGATTTTGAGCTTCGCAGCTCTAAAGATGCCCGGTAAATGTCGTCCAGCTTGGGAAGAAACTAATCCTTTTTGTTGGAGTTTGACTATCGTATGCTGGCAGCTCGTTTCCGGTCTGTTTTGTCTATACTCCGTTTCACCGTAATCTGGCGACCCTCAGTCAGAGCTGCTGTGAGGGAATCACAGTCGCGAAGCAAAGCACGTGACAGCTACTTTTAGGAGCAGTACTATGGCGCCTGCAGCGCGTCTCCGACTGGTGTGTTTAGCGTCTTATGCTGGCCATACATCAAAAGTGATCCCCAAGTGGCAACAAATGACGTCACAGAAGACGGAGTGTCACGCTGTTGCATCTCGCGATCCTGGCAACTCATCGTAGAAATGCTGGCGAAAACCACGAGGGAACACGAGTGTCGCTGTCGTCATGGCGTCCCAACGAAAAGCAATTATATAATTTCGACGTTTTTGTAATTCGGTAATTTAAATTACTGTATACAATTTTTAAGAAAATAAAGACATCATAACCAAATAGGAACTTCCGTGCTAAAACATGCAGTGCGAAGTGAAGACAACTACTATCTTTTTTTTTTCTTGATGTCCACAAAAAAAAAAAAAAGGCTATGCAGCATCGATCCTAGCGTTTTTTTGTTGCTTTTTTTCGCACATTATGTGATGTCCTCTAACACGAAAGTACCGACGTAAAAGCGCTGTAGAGACGATATAAAAACAAAAATTTAAGTGAATCGAGCTTTGTAGTGGAACGGAAAAAAATAAATAATTAACGACTCTTTACGGTAAACACTTCACCTCTAAGTAGAACTTCAAAAAAGTGAAAAAATTGTAAGGGTGCAGGCGAGCTGGTGGAAGTTAACCATAGTTTTGTTTAACCCGAGACTGGGGTATTTCGGAAAAGGGACGAGAAGAAAAGAGGCCACAAGGAGGCGACGTCTCAAATTCAAAATGCTGTCTTCTTCCTGTGTCCCACAGTCGAAACCTCTGGTGGTTCCTGTAACCCTCTCCGAGTAGAATCGTCCAAAGCCGAACCGATGCCCTGTTCAGCTCAAGCACCCTGGCACTTGTGGCCTCCTTGTGGCCTCTTTTCTTCTCGTCCCTTTTCCGAAATACCCCAGTCTCGGGTTAAACAAAACTATGGTTTCAAAAAAGTGACAGTTACGCGCCTTCATGCCCATTTCAACAAAGTTGGGAGAACGATGTATTGCATCTTGTGAATAGACATGTGGAGCAGCATGTTTATGTTAGAGGCATTGTGTGTAATCGCTGCGCAGTACCTGCCAAAAGAAGATATTATTTGGGCACAGTCTCAACCGTTTCCGTCTGTGTGTGCTACGAATACAGCAACTCTTTTCGTAGAAGAAGTGATGAGGAAATGGCGTGCCCTTGATGATACGATTGTGATTATGAAATAAAATTTTTAATCAGCCAATAATTGCGACCTGTCCGGTCGCCTGGAACCCCGACAACAACTATCGTTCTCTGGAAAGTTCATTCTAATATTTACACGTTTTGTGGAGTTCATCGAGCGAATAAGAATGTTCCAACAATGAGTTAAACCTACACGAGTTCCCGAATCCAACACGGCGCTTTTGAATTTTAGCGCCGTAGATAGTTTTGCGAACAGTGTATACTTCTGTGCAAATATTCGTCTAACAGTTTTGCAACGTTGGAAAGCATCGGAATGATTCAGAATCACTGCGGAGTTGATACTCGGGAAGATAAGACGGGCACTTGGGAGAAACGGACCGCGGCATTTGAGACAGGGGCACAACCGGGGGACGAACGTGCTACAATCGCATACCCTTTCAAGGTCATCGCTTGGGCGACCACGCGCGCGCCCAAGAAACCTTTTTTTTTCTTTTTTTTTAGGGTTGGGGGGGGGAGGGGAGTGGTGTAGGCGCTGATTGTCTTCCTCCTTTGTGGCTTTTGACAGACGCACAACGAGACTGGCAGAACAAGCTCATGATTCATTTCTTTCGACGGAGGCGTTCTGTCTGTGTATGCGAACATGATTTTTTTCCCCTTTTAGTAGTTAGTTGTTCTTGCCTTGACTCGGGTCCCAGTGGGTGCGTTGTCGTTGTATGCCCACTATTTTTTTTTTTTTTTAGTTTATGGTAGTTTTTGTGCTGATGGGGTATCAAGGTAGACAAAAAGAAAAAAAAAATTAAATAGCGCCTCGACAAAAAGAAAAAAAAGTTGTTGCGATCAGGAACGTTTTCAAAGCGATTTTAGGAGCCTGCAGTGTTACCACAGGTGCAGGATTGAGAGCGTAACCCACGCACTTGAAGAGAAGGGGAAGCTCTCGTCTTGTTGGAACTCTCTTTTATGGGTTTCCACGTCGCGATTGTCCTTCAAAATCAACTGTCATTTATTTCTCGCTCGTGGCTTCCAAGTACTAGAAGCCACGACTCGAGCCATAATAGTTTTGCGACATCAAGGTTTCGCTGAAATGGATAACTCTCACGTACAGTTCGACGCGCAATACCTTTGCCGTATTGACTCGCGAGAGATGCCCCCAACACGGCTGAGTATGGCGGTGCTCCAGACCTAACATCTAAATTTTGTTGCCTATTTACTATTTCGCGCCCATTTTGAGCCATATCAAAATGAAAGCGCATGATGAAATAAAAATGACACTCGTTATCCGCTCGATGGAAATTTCACGCCAGCTCGCTGTCTTTGCTGGTACCTTGAGTGTTTCCCAGCGATGCGGAGAGTTAAAAAAAACAAAAAAAAAAACACGTACGATGGCGTTTTTTGCACACTCATTACTTCTATAACACTGAGCCACCTCGTATCCTTTTGTTTTTCTTTCATGGTACTAATTTCTTTCTGCGCATTACGGCTGTTATGACGCTAAGTCTGTCTGCCCTTCGAATTTGAACTTAGGCTCAGATCAGGGACGAACCAGTTTAAATCAGGAAAATATAATTAACACTGTAGCAAAGTAAATCTATCATATCGATCGGAAATACGATTTGGCACATTCCATCTGAACACATATTGTGCACAGCGAATGCAATAGCGAGTCAGCGTGCAAAACGCCGCCACACTGAGCTACCATAACATCTCAGCGATTTTTGCATAGCACCGAGCACGGAAAAGAGAAAACAGTTATTCATTCACATAAACGAAGCAAATTTATTTAAAGCCCGGACACTCCGCACGTCCAATCTAGCTAAGGTTATCAATAGACTCGACCATGTCATTTGTCGAAACAGATAGAAGACGTTGGCAAAAATGATTAGACTGAATAAGTGAATCTAACGCACGTATTTTACCAACCGACGGTCGCGCGCCTTCAATACCCTTTCTAATTGTCATTGCGCACCTTGGACACACTTTGGGGAGCAATGCATATTTACATCGCCGCCCGAGGTCTCCATTGAACGTGTAGTGCTGACCCAAATAAAATGCTAACCTGACTCTCAATCGCTCACCGCAAAGGACGATTTCGAACAGGCGGTACTGTAAATCACTTGAGATAAAAAAAAAAGAAAAACAAGCTATAGAAATGAGCGTCGTAAAAAAGGGGACCGGCATTTTTATTCCTACCTCCGAACAGAAACGAGCGCCACCCACTGCATCACACAGCGCACAGGCCGGACTCGGCCACCGCGCGTACATACCAAGCGCGCGCGAGGGAGGGAGAAACTTCCTCCGCCGGGAGAACACGACACATTTCGGGATCTCTTTCACGCAGCGGATAACGCGGGCCTTTTCACACCTCGATACTGGCGCCATCCAGAAGTTGCGCGTTCAACCACGTTTCGAACCGCGCGCCATCTGGTGGCTGAAACGGACGAATAAATAGAGGTACCGCGCCCTCTTAAGCAACAGCCGAGGAAGGCTCACCATCTCTCAGAATGTTCCTCCTGCGTCTGAGCTTGCGGAGGTCTGCACTCTTCTCGGCATCGAGCACATCCGCCTCGCTGATCATCACGAAGGTGTCTGTCAGCGAGTTTTCGGACTTGCTGATGCGCAGGGCAGAGCCCTTCGCGTCGTCCGCGCCGGCGGCGGCAACCCCCGTGTCTTCCGGAATGGTCAGCGTTGACTTGGTCACCTGGGAAAGAGCGACGCAATGTCCGACTAAATCGGCCAATGAGCCTTTCCCAAAGTCGATCGGTAACGCGGGATGTACTATCGCGGACAATGTAGGCTGAAACGGTTCTTTGTGCTTCTTTGGCGTACCTGCCAGAATTCGAGAGAGCTGTGATTCGAATAGGGAAGAAATACAGAGTTGAGCTCCCATACTGCTGACTATATGACAAATCGAGTGATACAGCCGCCGACTGATTTTTCGGACTTTGCAGGGACCGAAAAGACGTCCAAATAATAGAGCAGTCCAAAAAATCAGCAGATTAGAGAACTCGCCTTGCTACGTCTAAAGGGGCTTAAAAAAGCCATTAATAGTACCTTGCTTCAGGTTAAGCCTCCGCTTGCGTTTGGCCGCTTTTTATTAGCTTGAGAATTGCTGCCTTCTTTTCTAGCGCTATGGTTGAGCACTTTCCATGCTTCTTAGCGACACTTTGCAGGGGCAGAGGAATACATGGGGCCACGACGTCCAAGCCAGCGTAGTACAAAAACATCCACGACTGCAAAATGCCGAATGAACAAAGCAAAGTAGTAACAATGATGATAACGATGCCCAGAAAAAAAAGCCGTAGCATAGCGTCACCTAGCTGTAGGATTTGGCAGTACTCAAGTAGCACTGCCAATCCAATCCAATCCATGTGCAGCCAACATAGAACCTAAAATGGCAGCTTCTCAGTGGTGTTTCCCATTGATCGCTCGCGACGATTTTGTCCGAAAAATCTAACTTTCGGACTTTATTTAAGCTGTTCGAAACATTGGTCCTAAATATGCACTACTTCTATAGGGTAGATCGAGGTTACTTGTTAGGTCCGAAATACCGAGCAAGTCTGAATTATCGGTGTCCGATAAATCGGTCGGCGATTGTAAAAGACCTTGTGGGGACCGTGGATGCGGAAAAAGTCCGGATCGTGCGTTTCGGCTTATAGTGTCTGGGTGGGGAAGGGGTACCGTGTGATGCTTCAGAGTGATTGCGGCAGAGATGAACTTAGTAAGCGTTTTGTGCCTCGATGGCACAAACACCGTCGCGTTGCTGACGTCTCCGAAAGAAAGCCCTGCCAAAGCACGAGTGGAACGCGAAGTTTGCAGTTGCACACCCCAGTTTTGGAGCTGCTGTTTCGCGTCCCCCGTTTCCTCCAAAACATGCGCTTGCTTCCTTTCCCCCTCGCCTCCTGCACTCTCTCCCACATGTGCGAGCACACTCGCATGACACTGTCTTCATTACGAGGCTGCATAGCTGAATTTTCAATGATACCTAACGGTGACGTTAATGTAGCACTCATTCGGCGCGAGGGCTGCGTCGGCGCTTGGCAGGAACTCGCATTCCCACCGAAAGAATATGAGTCCCAGCCAAGTGCCGACGCTGCACATGTGCCACACTCTTCCGTTGCAGGTGTGCGTTGCAGGAGGTCGCCAGGAGCCGGCCAATTTAAAGCATTCTGTGTTAAAAAAAGAGAAAAAAAATATGCGTGTGGGGGTTGATGCAAGGAACACTGTCGGCGGCGCAGTTCAGACGAAACCGAGCACGGGGGAGACGTCGGACTTCTGTTGCTGTGGTCACACTCCAACAGGTTCGGCTGATTCTTCTGCTTCTCGACGAGGCTTGGAATTGATCTAACAGAGATCTACCTGACTTTGCAGGAAGCAAGAAACATTGACTGCCTTCTCATCTCTTAAGTGCAGACCTCTGAAAAGCCTCTACTTATTGCCAGGTTGTATGACAATTTTCAAAGTTATTGCTCTTTGAAAAAAGAAAAAAAAAAAAAGAAGAAATTCTAAGTGACAAAAAAAATATACATTAGAAAGGTGGAGAGAATGAACAAAGGTTCCCTGGACCGTGGAGTAAGTTGAGGAAAAAATAAACGAGTTTACTTATTTTTGCTCTGGAGGTGGTCTTGTTACCTTCTAGCGAGCATCAGGATTCAGGGCAGTACAATATTGGTTGCAGAAGTTGCCGCCCAATTCAAAGAATTCTTTGTCTTATCAATTCACCCATCTATCGGCAGTGTCCTAAATACTAAAGAAGAAACGAAGGCCTCTAGTTGAGGCTTAGGAAAAAGGCATCTGTTTTAATGCAAAATCTGTTTTAGGACTGGTTTTCAAGCCTAGAGCATCACGAAAGTTGAGGGGATCAAACCACTGAACCCTCGCTCAGTAATTCGACTCCTTATTCCATTATGACCTGCTTCCACAGTGAAACAATCCCAGTGGGTCACGAAAGAGTTTTCCAATGGTGTCCCTTTCTCAGTTGACAACACTACTGGGATCACTGTGGAATCTCAAAAACGAAGAAGGCAGCTTCAAGGGGTGGGGCAGTCACCTGGGGATCTCCCGCTGAAGCTGCCTTGGAATGCTGCTGGGTGCTGAGCAGCCCCACTACCGTCTTGGAGTGCTGGAGCAGTGAGGGGCGCCGATCCTGGGAGCCCCGCCTCCATCCGGACTCCACCCCGCCGCTCCCCGCAGGGGGAGAGCTCAGCCCTCTCCCGTAGCTCTTTATCGAGTCTGCACACAAACAGTTGAAACGACGTTACAGAACAGACTCATCAGATTGAGGTCAACAAAACATTGCCATATATTCTTGTGTATAAGTCATTTATTTTTTTTCAAATTTCCATCGGTGCAGTTTATGCAACGATAAGACATATATGCTTTTACGAAAAAAAAGGTAAGTGCACTTACCTTTTTAGAATCTAATGAGAATTTTCGACTGGGTGGACCTCACTGTGGAAGGTGTAAACCGTATGCCAATGGTCTGCTACAGGCTTGTACGTAATCCGTTACAAGTAACAAAATTATTTGTAATCCCTTACATTTATCAGTAATTTAGTAACGGATTAATTACATATTTTCTAGAGTAATTTTAAAGTAATTCCCTTACATTTTTTACGTAACGGATTCCTTGTAATCTGTTACATTTTTTTTTTCAGGACACCCCCCCCCCCCCACCAACCCCCCCCCCCCTTTTTTTTTAAAGAAAGGCTTGTTTTTATTTTGGTAAAGTCTAGCGCACGGGGACTAAGTCACGCGAATTGACCAGCGCAAAGGGAGGCTTGGCACTCCTCAGTTCTGCAAAGGCTTTTTTTTTTTTTTTTTGCAACACTAAGTTCCTGAATTTATTTTTTTTCAGACCCTAACAACAATGGAAAAAAAAAAATCCAAATGAACATTTTTACAAAAATAAGAAAAAAAAAGGGGGAAAAGGGGCAAGGGCATTTCCGCTTTTTTTTTTTTTTTTTTTGCAACACTAAGTTCCTGAATTTATTTTTTTTCAGACCCTAACAACAATGGGAAAAAAAAAAATCCAAATGAACATTTTTACAAAAATAAGAAAAAAAAAGGGGGAAAAGGGGCAAGGGCATTTCCGCTTTTTTTTTTTTTTTTCCTTGCGATCGAATGCGGGTAGAGGAGGACACCTAGGTTGCCTACATGTTTCCGCTCCGCTTTAGGGTGGTGCCAACTTCTTGTTACCCTTTCCCAGATCCTCTCCCACCGCCATTTTCTCCCACTTATATTTCGCTAAACGTAAACAACGTTGAGTTTTTGTAGTCTCGAAACGCCGGCAACACTGTGAGGCCACTTCCGTTTCCGTTCATAAGAGAAGTCGGAGGCTCAGCGGGATGGCGGTCGTCGTGACTGTCGCTCTCTTTCTTCGGGTGTTTCATATTTTCAGGTTGCAAGCAGGAAGCGTGCGTTGCTTTTGTCGAAACGCGAGTTCCCGCGACAAAATGGAACGCAACAGACCGGCATTGAACGCCGAAACCTCGCCGTCGGAACGAGAGCGATGAGCGCTCCTTAGCCCTAACGAGGATTAGCGGCGTAGTCCGAGCGCACTACCGGCGAGTGTGAAAAAATGGTCGACGAAAGCAGCGGAGGTTGCCATGGTGACAAGGTAGGCAACACTGGTTTGTCGGCAACAGGTATCACAAACGTTGTCGCCACCCTAAACAGCGGAGCGGCGGAAACATGTAGGCACCCCAAGGACGCCAAGTGATTATGTGCTTACCGCCTCGAGCTTCTCGGGGTGGTAAGTGCACAGACGAGAATTATCAATGTCCTTCTCGGTTATAGTGACTACTACCATTTTCATAATGTCACAACACGAGAAAGGCTCCGACTGCCCTAAAATCCACTACAAGGGATGTGATAATATGTGAATGTGTCATTGCCACAAGCATCCTCGCTCGTTGCTGCACACTTATCATCTCTTAGAAAACAGGATGTATTTTTTCTGCTTCTTTCACCTTATTTGACCCTGTTTTAAAGGGGTACTCCACAGGTTCTTTCATTGTCTCCGATTTGCTTGAAATTTTGCTAAACTAACCAACAAACATTGCGAAAATTGTATCCCAAATATTAGGTCAAAATATTGTTTTTTTGCGAAGTTATTGAATTTACAGTTTTGGTCTTCACCATGTTTTTCAAACTGAAAGTCTCTACTGGCAACAACAACAAAGTAACGTCAGTGGAAGGCAGGGGTTAACGTTTTGGACTACAGAAGTTGTTCCCAACGGATTTGAAGCAGTTTCTTGGTGTCAAATGAGTGCTTTGGAAGCTCGCTCCCGTATCCGCGCTCCAGCACGGAACAAATGATTGGCATATTCTATTTTTAGACTACTTGCTCGACAGGCAAGCCCGCCTGCCACTGACGTCACGGCACTGAAAAGTGCGCGAATATTTGAATATTGGTTTTTGCACCATTTTCATTTGCCGATTTCACAATACGTATTATGAATTTCACGATGCTAAATAGCATACCGGAAAGGCTAAAGGCCGGGGAGTGAGAAAATATAGTTAGTTGAGGTAGCTCAAAAAATCGGTGGAGTACCCCTTTAAGAGCTCCTTACTCTTTTGTAGTCCAACTTCTAGGGTTGGCCCACTTTATTTGTGAATTCCAGCCACGTTATCTGCATCTCAGTCACCCTTTTTGTGAGTCAGCTTTTTGCGAGCACTTCGAAAATAGTAATAGTCTTTCTTTTTTCGTCTCCCTGTTTTTACCCCAGCAGGACGCATCTTATCTCAAGCAAATATTTGTACAAAGAAAGCATAATGGTGGCTGACGTAGACTTGATATTCTGGGCTTCAGGAGGGAGTGAAACTCGTGGAGTGGGGCCATAGCGCAGCTTACTTAGTTCTCTGCCCATCGCTGCCCGTGGCATCAGCGGACGTCTATCTGGAGAACACCGGAGTAAACTGCAGTCAGTTTGTGCTTTGTGCGTTTTTGAACGGCATCAAGAAAGGTACACACGGCAAACGTGCGTTTACATTTCCTTGTTTTAACCGACGTTCTAATTAATTGTTGTTATGAATGTCCTTTTTTTTTCTTTCGATTACTGGTATATATATATATATACTGGAAACCTTTTTTTATTCACAAACGTCTCAAACCAGGCTCGACCTGTTCAGAACCAAAGGAAGAAGAATATCGATAATACATTACTGTTACAACTATGTTTTGCTATTGTCTGGCAATATATGCCGGTATACTAAGATGGACATAAATTAATTCTTATTCTAGTTTTTGCTAGATGCATGATGACTTCTACTCCTTCGCGATTTCGACAATGGAGAATTTCAGTAGATCGGTCTGATAGCGATACCCGATACTCTGCCGCCGCATTTGCGCATTCATCATAACGTTATCGGGGGTATGGAGGTATCGGAACAATCTACTAAAACTCTCGAATATCAGGCAACGGCTGCTACGACGAAGCTTTGCTCTATCTTCGAAGTAAATAGTACTTCCATTGCTTCGCTGAAGAAGCTCAATGCAGAGCATAAAGCATTCGTGAGTAATAATATGCCACTCCCACACAGTGCCTCAGTTCAAAAAGTGTTCAGCGTAACAGTCGACATCTTCAGTAAGAAATAGTGCAAAATGTCTGACGAGACGTTCGAGAGTCAGCTGTTGCTCAAAATACTCAAGGTCATCAAATTGAACAGGTTGCAACATTAAGAACTTGAATAACCCTCCTCCCTTTGTTTCTTAATTGTAGACAATATTGTTGAAAGTAGCGCCACGAAAGTAACAGATTACTTTTTGGGGTAACGGTCACTTACTTTTATGGAAGAGCAGACTTGTACCGTACGCATTACAAGTAATCAAATTACTTGTAATAGATTACTTTTTGGAGTAATTTTGTAATCAGTTTATTACTTTTATTAGGCAGTAATCACAAGAGTAATCTGATTACTTTTTGAAGTAATAAAATTACTTGTAACCGTTACAATTTGTCCACGGGACCCACGGCACATGCCTTTTTTTTTTTTTTTTTTTTTATAAAGTAACAAAAATAAAATTTGCTTTTTTTTTTTTTTTTTTCGAACGGAAAAACGAAAGATTTTTGCGGAGCTGTAGGAAACTAGGTCAATCTCTTTCTATGTACAGTTTCTCTAAAATGTCCGTTTTTTTTCTTTTTCGAGCTGGGACTGGGAGTGGGAAGCCTTAGGGAAGCCGCGGTGCGTGACAAAGGGCATTCAGGGCGAAGTTTGAGGAAGCAGAATGTAGCTTTGCGAGTCCTTCGTTCAAACTAGCCCCCTCACGCACACACACACAGAAATTAAAAAAAAAAATCCTGCTTAAGGTACCTACTCGCAGCCGTTAGGAGAACCAGAACCGGAGAAAGCCTAAAGCGGATGCAAAATATAACAAAGGCAGTTGAAATATTTCCCCATTTCCCCTACGTGGTCTTTGTGACAAGCAATGTTTCGAGTTGAGAAGTGGTCGGGGCGATCTCTTCTGATAATGGATACTACACATGATCTGTTTCAAATCCTGGAGCTGCTGCTCTCTTGTATAACATGCGAGTTCATCCACATGCAAATAATAAAATGAGCGACGCAAACTTTGAGCGACAACCCTTGCTCAAGCTTAACAAGATCTAGAACCCCCTCCGCCTCCCCCCCCCCCCGCCCCCCCTTCCCCCCCACACACACACACTGGCGAACGCCCAAATCCTTAAACGTCTTCAAACGAATTCTATGATCGTGTCCGCATTGTGAAGGTGCAACGACCACGAAGAGGGAACCAGTTTTTTCTTTTTCAATACTTGTGCAAATGTGAAATATAGGTTGGAAGTAGTTCATTGGTACCGACATGTCACAAGCAAGTCGCTTACGTCAAATTTTCATCCAGGTGCTCGTCATTGCCTGGACGATCCACACAAAGCCCTATCAACGAGCTGATAATCTGCCACTACCCATCGGAGCCTCGGCGTCACTTCAGCTGCCGTACGCCCGCCTGATCCTTCCGCCGCTGGATACGTCCAGATTCGACGGCACAGCCTGGCAACCACAGCTTGCGCCAGATAACCACAAGCTACAAAAGCCGCTGCCCGGCACTTCCAGCGAGGGGCCCGGTACCGACATGTCACAAGCAAGTCGCTTACGTCAAATTTTCATCCAGGTTGGTCTTTTTTACAAACCTGTTGACCATCACAGTGTTAGACGTTACTTGTCGGTGCCGAGCCCCTTTGCTTTTGTCTTTGTGCTTTGTCATTTAGAAG